TTTCCAAATAAGGTCATACTGTGAGGTCCTGGGGTTGGCACTTCCTCATATTAATTTTAGGGGCACAATACAAAGCACAACACATGCTTATGCACGTGTGTGTGTGTGTGTGTGTGTGTGTGTGTTCGTTCCTATAAAAACTGAGGTCACATCTTGCTTTCATGTTGTAAACGTCAGCCTGCAAATCGGCTGCTTCCACACGCAGCCTTTCTCCGATCGCCTGGGTCTGTCAGTGCCTCAGTCCCTCTGATGCTGTGTAACATTCCTGAGGGACTGGCCCACCGCCTGCTCGCCAGTCCTGGCCGATCCACATTAGGGTCCTTCCCAGTGTAACAGCCCCAGCTACCAACGTCTCCAGCCTGCCGTCTGAGGCTCAGAGACGGCTTTGCCAGCGTAGGCAGATGTCATGAATTTGGTGGGTTGTAGCCCTTCCTATTTAAATTTTTACAAATGCATTTTTATTGATTTCAGAGCGGAAGGGAAAGGGAGAGAGAGAGAGAGAAACATCAGTGATGAGAGAGAATCATTGATCGGCTGCCTCCTGCATGATGGGGATCGGGCCGCAACCCGGGTATGTGCCCCGACTGGAAATTGAACCTTGACTGCCTGGTTCATAGGTCGATGCTCAATCACTGAGCCACGCAGGCCGGGCCCATTTACATTTTTAATGCTCATTTGCCAACCTGGGGTGATTCAACTCTCCATCCCCAGGAAGAGTCAGGGTGTGGGCGGTGCTTCCCGGACATCTCAGCCCCCTCACCCCTCCAAGCTTTATCACAGAGTGAATCTAATACAGGGGGCCATTTAATGGTGCTGAAAGGCTGAGAATGCAAAAGGGAAGCATAGGGGTAACAGCTGCTGGGACAAAAGGGTGTAGGGACAGGGGTCTCAAGCAGCTGAGGAGAGGACACCCCTGTAGGGCACCCTGCTGGACCCTCAGACGCTCAGGGAGGCAGCCCTGAACCCTAGCTGTGTGGCTTGAGCAATTTCTCAAAACTTTCCGTGTCTCAGTTTGCCCTTCCGTGAAGTGGGACAGTAACTACCTTCATGAGGTGGTGGAAAGGACTGAATGAGTTTAATTCAAGCTTGGTGCTCAGAACGGGGCCCGGCCGGTCTGTGATACATGAAGTCCAACTCTTGTCCACTGAGAATGAAAACCCCTTTTGCAGAGAATGTTCTGGGGCCAGGGTTCCATCAGGGGCAATTCAGTTCCTCAGGGCACACCGGGCCGTGTCCAGGGATGTTTTTGTCTGTCAGGACTGGGAGGAAGGGTTGCTTCTGGCATCGAGTGGGTGGGAGCCAGGGGTGTTACAACGCACAGGGCAGCCGCCCAGCACAGGAAGTGACCCGGTGCCATGTGCCTGCCCCCCGCCATCCTCTGATCAAACCCTCCCTTCCCTGTCTTCCCCACCCCTCCTCCACTGCCAGCTCTGCTCCTCCTGGATCTGAGTCAAAGAGAGGAGTTCAAAGGGAACGCCCCACTCCCTCTACCCTTGTCCCTTCCCCAGATCCGAGGCTGGACCGGGGCCATTAGGACATCAGATTTCTGGCCGGGGGAGGGGGGACGCAGGTCTGGCGTCAGGGGGCAGCTGGGGACGCTCTGGGGATATTGAAGGTTGTTTGTGTCTCTCTTGACCCCAAGCCTGCCTGCCTGTCTGTCTATCTGTCCAGTTCCAAGGGCTGGGCATTCATTTGTCCTCCTGACTGCCTTCCCTCCAGGCAGAGCCTAGATCTTCCTGGCAAATCCCACCCCCTCTTAGCTGGGGCCCGCACGCTCTCCACTGGCTGCCCAACCTGTCGCTGAGTCCTGCCTGGAAGTAAACAGCCACCCCTCCCATATTTCCTTTTCTTAAATCCTCACTAAGGATGTTTACTGATTTTAGGGAAAGAGGAATGGGAGGGAGGGGGGCTGGAGAGAGAGAGAGAGAGATCCAGCCCCCCAATGATTGACTGCCTCCTGTATGCCCCTTAGTCTTAGTCTGAGGGACTGGGACAGAACTGGGCCCTGCCAGTGCCCATGGTGAGGGCTTCAGCTGGAGAAGCCTAACAGGGTGATCGGCAGAAACGGGGTTTACCCCAGGTCACCAAGGGCGGAGGGCAGAGTTCTGGGAGTAATCTGAAAGGAGCGTGACCACTGAGCCACCTTTCCCGTCCAGGTGGGCCCTCCCCTGCCGGGAATAACTAACTCAAAGACACCGTGGTCCCCTGCTGAGCGGGGTTCCAGCCTGCCGCCTTTGTGGTGTGGGGAGGACACCCCGACCAGCTGAGCCACTGGCCAGGGCGGCCCGCAGGACTTTTTACCTGACCCTTCCCCTCTCCCCCAAAACTCTGCCTTCAGGCTTTGGTGACCTGGAGGCCAAGTCCTGGCTCCTTATCTGCCATTCAGTCACCCTCCGGGTTTCTCCGGCTGAAGTCCTGACGGTGGGGAACTGGGAGGTCCGGCTCTGTCCGGGTCCCTCAGACTAGGGGGGTCCCTCAGACTAGGGGGTTCCCCAGACTAGGGGCTCCACACCCTTTAGGGACCCAGCATTGCTCAGCATGAGGCTAGATCCACGGACTGAATGAGTCCACGCAGCTCTCCATAGAGCCTCAGGGTCCAGGCAGCCCTGCTCCCGCCCTCCCCATAGGCAGGGCCAGCAAACAGCCGGCTCCACCAGCACCAGAATCCAAAGATGTGTGGGGGCCCCCCTCTTGCTGGTGTTGGGTCTGTCCCGAGGGGCTGCTGGGATGATCCCCCGGGTCCCTGCCCCACACAGAAAGCTGACAGAGCGAACGGGAGCCACCTTTTCCCATTCAGGTGCCCCCCCCCCCCGGGGGGGGATTATAACTCAAAGACAGTGGTGGTCACGTGTCGTTCAGCCCTCTGGCAAGGGACACCTAGAAAATGGACATAAAGTGAGGTAAAACCCCCTAGGGGTTTCAGGGGATGAAAGGAGATAAAAAGCTTAGGCTAGTATTTCAGAAGTGCCTTTCATTTTTCTAAAGGGAGTCTGACTTTTGGGAAGGAAAGAATTGAGGTTCTTATGATCCTTATCTCACCTCTTCTGCTAGGTTCTCTCTCCAGCCCTCAGGACCCCATCCACACCCATTTTTCAGGCACGCGCTCTCTCTCCCTCTCTCTCTCTCTCTCTCTCTCTCTCCCTCCCTCCCTCCCTCCCTTCCTCCCTCTCTCTCTAAAGAATGCATGTTTCCCTGGATGATCTATGTCAGTGTGGGGGCTTGGCTGGCTGGGCCACCCGGGGCCTCAGGCTTATAAGTGGGTTCCTGTCTGTTTCCTAATTTCTGTCCGAATTTCTGATTCTCTGCTTGTATGTTCAGCATTCAATTATTTGACAGATACTTATTTTTAATTTGTATTTAAATTAAATGTATTGGGGTAACATTGCTTACTAACATTATATAAATATTAAGTGTGAAACTTTACAATCTGACATCTGTGTGCTCCATTGTGTGCTCACCACCTGAAGTATTGTCTTATTTCCTCACCATGCATTTTACCCCTTTACCTTCTCCATCCTCCTGCAACATCCTTCCCTCTGGTAATCAGGTTCCGTTGTCTCAGAAATTTCATGAGCTCCTACTATGTGCCAGGCATTGCTGGAGGCAGTGCAGTTACTAAGACTGTTCAGGTCCCCGCCTCCATGTGGCTCAGAATCCGGTGGGGCAGACAGTCACAGCTGGAGGGGGAGGGGGGAGAGAGCAGGTGTTCAGGGCAGTGATGGAAGCAGCCCAGGGTGCTGGGGGGGGGGGGCAGGGTAGTAACTGACTAGGGCCTGCCCTAGAGGGTGCTGAGAAGGCTTTCTGGCTGAGAATATTAAGACCGAACACGTCTATTGCTTTTTATTGTTAATCCTCGCCCAGGATATTTCCCCCCTGATTTTTAGAGAAAGTGGGAATGAGGGAGGGAAAGAGGGAGAGCGGAGAAGGAAGAGAGAGAAACATCAATGGGAGAGAGACAACCCGGGAGAGAGAGGGAACCCGGGCCAGGGAAGGGACCTGCCACCCAGGTCTGTGGCCTTGACTGGGAATCCGACTCATGACCCTTCCGTGCGCGGGCTGAGCTCTAACCACTGTGCACACCAGGGCACTCTATCACTTTTAACATACCAGAGCGGGGGAGACTGCGAACCCACGAACTTAACGGGCTTGTCCCAGCTGGAACAAGGGGCTGGCCCGGATCCCACGATTCTGGCCAGGTAGGTTTAAAACCACGGCTGGAGGAGGCCTGGAGGCCAGAGCCGGGGGTGGGGGTGGCGGTGGAACGTGAAGCCGCTTATGTGGTGACGGAGTCGGGGAGACGGCTGAGGCAGAGGAGGGAGGGGTCCAGGGCACTGGCTGGCGGGTGAGCACTGCGCCCTGGAGCACCGTCTGGCTCTGCGGGCGGGTTTCTGGCGGTGAAATGGGAGAGGCCAGGCCTGCCCCGCCTCCCGCCCAGCAGGGGTGAGTAAACCCACGTGGGGCGTTGGCACCGCAGGCGCTCATTAAATGCCAACTGGTGTTATTATGACGCTTATCCCCATTATTATCCTTAATAACTAATTAATTAGAACTAATGCGTCCTCTCCGCGCCCAAGGGGTGTCTCCGGCCGCAAAGTCACCGGACCCCGTGGAGAGGACCCTCTCCCCACCAGCTGTGTCTAAGACCTTCCCCCCAACACCCATCCCAGCTCACCCCATTCTCCCCAGCCCACATTTGGCCTGGTTAAAGCTGCGGACAAGGCGTGGGTGGCGCGGGCCTGGCAACCGGAGTCTGGGTCGGGGGGACCACCCTTGCGTGTTCCCCCCCACCCCAACTTCGCGGTGAGGGGTCCGAAAAGCCCCAACGACCCTAGCGCGCTAGGACCCCGCAGCTCCACCGGAGCCGGGTGTGTAGGCCCAGCTCACCCCTAGGCCACGCCCACCTGCAATATGATTGGCTCTCCGCACCCGGCGCGCGGCCGCTATTGGCGGAGGAGGCCGCTGCTCCCGGGATGCCCCGCCTCCCCCGGACCGTAGTCTCGGGTCCACAGGCGCCCGGGCCGCAGGAGCGCTCGGCCGGGCGGACGCGCGGACGCAGTCGGCGTTGGGGGAGAGGGGCTCCCGCAGTCGGGTTCGGGGGGGCCCCCGTTTGCGGCGCTTCCGACGGCCCAGGCCGAGCCCGGGGTGCTGCCATGGGCCCGGGGCCCCCGACGGCCGGCGCGGGGGCGCCCCCGCGGGCGCTGCCCCTGACGGCGCGGCTGAGCTACGCCGTGGGCCACTTCCTCAACGACCTGTGCGCGTCCATGTGGTTCACCTACCTGCTGGTCTACCTGCACTCCGTGCGCGCCTACAGCTCGCGCGGCGCCGGCGCGCTGCTGCTGCTCGGCCAGGTGGCCGACGGGCTCTGCACGCCCCTCGTGGGCTACGAGGCCGACCGCGCCGCCGGCCGCTGCGCCCGCTGCGGGCCCCGCAAGGCCTGGCACCTGGTCGGTAAGTCGCGGCCAGGCCGCTCCCACTCACCTGCCTGCCCGCCCAGTGCCCCCAGTGGCCAGACCTTCCCCTCCGGATCTGCCCCAGTGCCTGAGCCAGCCCCTCTGCTTAGCTCCCTGCCTGCCCCCTTCTGTCTCCCTGTCCCAGGGCCTGGACCTGCCCCCGCCCCATTGTCTGTCACATGACCTGAGCCTTCTGTCTCTGCCCCATGCCCTGAGGCTTCTCCCTCTGTCTGCCTGCCTGCCTCGCGGCTGCTGTCGGACCTGGGTGTGTAGGCCCAGCCAACCCCTAGGTTAAGCCCCTTTCATCTGACTCAGTGGGTTGGTATGACCTTCCAGTGTCGCTTCCCTTTGACCCCGGCTTCAGGCTGGGAGGCTGGGTCTGACTGCCCAGTGCCTCCGCTGTCAGTCTGTCTTGTCTGGCTTGACCTCTCCATCTCTCTGCCTGGGTGACCACCAGGACCTGGTCTGAGTGAGGGCCAGACCGGAGCCCCCTCTGTCAGGCTGTCGTGTCTCCAGTGCTCTCTGTCTGTCCCCTCCCTAATTTGGGCAACGTGGCGCTTGGGCGTTTGGGGGAGCTGCCCTGGCAGCTGAGAGTGAGACAGAAGGGTCAGGGGTCCGTACCTGACTAACTGGATGGGGCGCCCTCTGGCCTGGGGCCTTTGCCCGCCTAGAGGGCTGTTGGGGAGGGTAAGCTGCAGGTCCCAGGGCTGGGGTGCCTGCCCTGTGTGCGCTGATGATAAGCCCGTGTCCACGCACCCTTCTCTGCCCGCCCAGGCCTTGAGCTTTGAGATTAGCCCTGGCCACTCTCCCTGCTGTCTCTCCCCTGGCACTAGTGCCCACACAGCCTGGCATTTCAGGAGGCAGGACCGGGAGTCCTGCTGCTCGGGGAACTCTGGAATTCTGGGAGGCAGCTTTTTAGAAGGCGGAGGGGACGCTGAGGAGTGAGACAGTGATTTACCCTGGGCCCTTTTGAGTGACATTTTTGCAAAGTGCAACAGATCTCTCAATGGAGGGTGGCTCCTGATTTCGGGTTTTTCAGGTCTGAGGGTGCCCAGGCTGTTCTTGGGCCACTTTGGACTGCTGGACACTCAGCGAGGGTCCCCCCTGTCCCCAGGAAGAACTTGATTTCCCCTGCAGAGGTGGGTGTTAGGGGTGCCGAGGGCACTTTTGTAAACAAAGAACTGAAGGGTTTGTGCTTATGCAAAACAGGCCTGGGGAGGAGTGCCCCAACCAGACACGGAGGTCTCCACCTGCACCCCTTCCCCCTTCAGGGGAGGGTCTGTGGGGAGGAAGCTGGGGAAGCCCCTCCGAATTCCTGAGAAGGCCACGAGAGCAGTCACCCCAGCGAGTGCCCACTTCTCTATTTGCCCCTGCGTCTGCAGTTGGTGGCGGTGGTGAACTCACTCTTTCCCTCACCAGCCCTCCCCGCTGCCCTCTGTAGCCCGGAGAGGCCCATCAGAGCTGGACATGGATGCCCCTGTGAGATCCAGGCTGGCAGGTGACGGACTGGGCTTCATCAGAAAGCAGCAGAGCTCCGGGGGACAGGAAATTGCCTTTGGGGTTTTGAAGGACGATTAAAAGTGCGTGTGGGGGGCACATTCCAAGCAGTTAAAAGAGCTTGTGTAAAGGTGTGAAATATCGTGGCGCTGAGGCTGCTGAGGTGGGGAGTAGCTCAGGAGTAGCTCAGAGGAGTAGCCGCTTTCACACAGTCACTCTCCATTCCCAGGAAGCAGGGATTTCCATGTTCTGGAAACTGAGGCCCCGAGAGCAGTCACATGCCCAAGGCCCCCAGCCAGTCAGCCTCACCCTGACAATGGTTAACTGGCCGGGCAGCGGCAGGCTGGAGTCCACTGAGGGCTGCGTGTTCTTCCGGCGGAGTCTTCAGCTGGCCCGCGGCCCGCGTTTGTCCAGGATGCCCCTCCCAGTTCCAGAGAAAGAACTAAGCTGGTTTTGGTTTCATTTCCTGATCCCAGAGCTGTGGGGGCGAGCCCAGGGTCTGGGGCTGAGGCCACCTCCTGGGGGAACAGGGAAGTCCGGCTGCCGGCTCCTTCCAGGCTCAGGGATGGGAGGAAAGGGGCTTGGATAGACCTGGGACCCATCCCAGCAGGCCCACAGTCCGGTGGGGTAGGCGAGCAGGAAACAAGCAGAGACAGACAAGAATTTCTGTGTGTGCTGAGGGGCGAGAGGAGAAAGCTGGGTCCAGAATAGACCCTGTTGAATTGGCAAGGGGACTGACGGTCAGTGACCGAGCTGATCAGGGAGGGCTTCTTAGAGGAGGTGGCATCTGAGTTGAGTCCTGAGGGATGGAAAGAAGAGCGTTCCAGGCAGAGGGCACAGCATGTGCAAAGGTCCTGAGGCGGGACTGTGCCTGGCGTGTTGGAAGAGCCCTGAGTGGCTAGAGTAGAGTGAGCAAAGGGGTGGGGAGGGGACGAGGGCAGGCTGTGCAGGGCCTGGAGGAGGACGCGGCCTGTTGTGAGACAGTGGAATGTTTGCCAGGGACAGGTCGCCTTGTGAGCTGAGGGACTCGGGCTCATGGAGGGCAGGGTCCTGCCTCCCCTGGCCTCCTGGCTCCTGCTGGCCCACAGGATTTTGATGGGAGCTGGGGAGGAAAAGGCTCGCTCCCGGGAAGGGGATGTGGTGGGTGGTTTTCCAGGGCACCCCACAGCATCCTCTCAGCCTGCAGCTGACCTCGGGCTCTCTGTGCTCCCCTGGCCCCTCCTGTCATCAGGGCAACCCCGGGGAGTCCTGGACTGCCATGGGGAGGCCCTGTTCTTCCTCCCTCTTACTACCCGGCCATACATCCTGGTCCTGCTCGCTTACCTATCATGGCATGTACCCTCAGGACCATGCCAGCCGATTCTGTGTCTCCATGGGATTGGAGGGTGGAGGCTAGGCCCCCGCCCCCCACCTCCCTGCTGCTTTGGCTGTGTGACTTCAGGGGACCCAGGGCTCTCTTCTCCAGGTTCCCCATTTGTCACGGGGGCCACAGCCTGAGGTGCTCCGGCTGCTGCTCCTACACACCGCACTGCGGGACTCTGGGAGGGTCTCTGGCCTTTTCTGGGTCTCTCTCCCCCACCCGGCCACACCCCAGGGAGCCCTGGGCCGCCCGGGGAAGGTCCGGCGTATGACCTCCCCCTGCTCTGCCCGTCCACAGGCACCGTCTGCGTCCTGCTCTCCTTCCCTTTCATCTTCAGCCCCTGCCTGGGCTGCGGGGAATCCACTCCGGAGTGGGCCGCCCTCCTCTACTACGGGCCCTTCATCGTCATCTTCCAGTTTGGCTGGGCCGCTACCCAGATCGCCCACCTCAGCCTCATCCCCGAGCTCGTCACCAACGACCACGAGAAGGTGGAGCTCACAGCTCTCAGGTACCGCCCCGCAGGGCAGGGTGGAGCCAGGCCACACCTCGGGGACTCAGGCCCAGCGGATGCGTCTGGAACGCAGGAGGTCCGTCACCTGCAGCTGTTTGTGCAACAAATGGGCACAAAGTGGCTTCAAACATTGTGTTTATGCCGTGGGTTTTCGGGCTTCTGTCTGTCTCGGCTGGGTTTTCTGCTTCAGTGTCAGTCTTGAGTTGGTCTCATCTGAGGCTTGGGGTTCCTCTATCCTGCTCATGTAGTTGGTCGCAGAATGAATTTTCTTTTTGGAAAGTATATTTTTATTGGTTTCAGAGAGGAAGGGAGAGGGAGAGAGATAACATCAATGAGAGAATCATTGCTCGGCTGTCTCCTGCACGCCCCCTCCTGGGGAATTGAAGCCAAAACCTGGGCATGTGCCCTTGACCGGAATCGAACCTGGAGCCCTCAGTCTGCAACCGACGCTTTATCCACTGAGCCAGACCAGCCAGGGCTGAAACTTTTTTAAAAATTGTCTTTTTAAAAAATTGATTTTTAGAGAGAGAGAGAGGAAGGGAGAGGGAGAGAAACGATGTGAGAGAGAACAATGATAGGCTGCCTCATACATGCCACCCACCGGGGATCAAACCCACAGCCCAGGCATGAGCCCTAACTAGGAATCGAACTGGCAGCCTTCCAGTGCACGGGATGATGCCACTCGAGCCACGCTGGCCGGGGCCAGATTCATTTTCTTACAGATGTAGAGCCAATGGTGGCTTGCAGGTTCTTTGCCACCAGCGAGAGGGTCAGGCCTCAGGGATGGCTTGGGCCCTTTTTCCAAGAATCACCTGAGAAGGTCAGGCCTGCCCAGGACAATCTCCTTTAATTACATCTGAAAAATCCCTGCACCTGTAGCACAGGAGTTGCCTAAATATGGGTGTGATATCCCGTCATATTCAAAGGTCCATCCCCAAGGGGAGGGACCAGGCACGGCAGGACCAGGGCACGGGAGTCCCCAGAGCCATCCTACAGTCCTGCCTGCCAGCAGTTGGTACCCATCTTGCTTGAGATGCTAGAGGAGGTTATTCTGGTGATGCTCATAGGAGCATTTGTGAGGTGCTTGCTGTATGCCAGGCACAGTTCTAAGCACTTCATACGGTTAGCTGCTGCTTCTTTAAAAGGAAAAAAGAAAGAAAAAAAAATATATATTTTTTTTTACTGATTTTTTACTGAGAGGAAGAGAGATAGAAACATCGATGAGAATCATCGATCAGCTGCCTCTTGCACACCCCTTACTAGGGATGTGCCCGCAACCATGCCCTTGACCGGGACCGAACCTGGGACCTTTCAGTCTGCAGACCGACGCTCTACCACTGAGCCAAACCGGTTTCAGCACGGTCAGCTTCTTTAATCTTCACAGCACACCCAGGTTGTCCTGTGCCCCAGGCCAGACCAAAGTGCCTGTGGGACCTGAGCATTAAGGAAAAGGAGGCGGCAGTTCCGGCCGGAGCGGAGAGTGCACGTGAGGGCCGCCAGTGCTGCTGGAGCTCGGAGCCCGGCTGACAGTTGGCGCCCGGCGGGAGCATGTTACTCTTGCTATGTTGCAGCATCTGTGTGGAGGGTCCTGCCTTCTCCAGCTCAGCCTGTTCGGTCTGCTCCCCACCCCTTTGAGTTCCCCATTATGGCTGAGAGCTGCAAGCACTAAGGACAGGTTGCTCAATGCCTGGGCCCCTGAGGGCCCCACATGTTAGGGGTCAGGCTAGGCCAGGCCAAGTGTTGATGCACATTCTACCTGCAAGTGTTTTATTGCCAGCGTTGTATCATCTTCACTAGGACCTCTGGGTATTGTTCTTACATTTATTTATATTTTTATTGATTTCTGAGAGGAAGAGAGAGAGAGAGAAATATCAATGATGAGAGTCATTGATCAGCTGCCTCCTGCACGCCCCTACTGGGGATCGAGCCCACAACCTGGGCCTGGGCCCCAACTGAGAATGAAACCGTGACCTCCTGGTACAGAGGTCAATGCTCAACCACTGAGCCACACCGGCCTGGCTGTTCTCTTACGTTTAGAAAGGGTAACTGAGTCCTGGTGAGATCCAGAGGTTGCTCCTCCCCTGACCTTCCTGCCCCTGAGGGATGTCATGCCGGGGCTGCAGGCCGGAGCAGACCCAGGTGATTGTGGGCCTTGCCCTGCTGAAGCCCAGGACCTTGGTGCTAAAAATCCCAGAGTCCTGGCTTCTGAGCTTCTTGGTTCTCAGACTTGACTGGACCCTACTTTGCTGAGTCTCTGCCTCCCAGCGCCCCGTCATGGTGGCTGAGGGTCAGAGCTGAACATCATCAGACGACATGCAGGCTGGGCGAGCTGGGGCCACCCCAGGTTTGGTGGCTGAAGTTATGTCACCCAGAGGTTCCCCAGACACCACAAGCAGCTCTCACTTGTGTGGCCGCCTGGAGCGGAAGTGGCCCTGTGGTTTCCTGGGCTGCCATGCCGAGGCCTCGCCTGTCCCCCAGGTACGCCTTCACCGTGGTGGCCAACATCACCGTCTTCGGTGCCGCCTGGCTCCTGCTCCACCTGCAGGCCTCTTCCAACATGGGGCCCACCCCGGATGTCAGTGACCAGCTGGGGGTCCAAGATGTGCCAGTGTTTCGGGTGAGCTGGGGCCGGGGAGGGGGCCTCCCCCCAGGCCCGGAGCTGGGGCCTGGGCCATGAGAGCCACTGCTGACGCCTCCTTCTCTGTGGGTCCTCAGAACCTCTCCCTTTTGGTGGTGGGCATCGGCGCCATCTTCTCACTGCTGTTCCACCTGGGCACCAGGGAGGGGCGCAAGCAGCTGGTGGAGGAGCCGGATGAGCACAGCCCCCTGCTGGCCCCCACCACGGCCCGCCCCTTGGTGCTCTGGAAACACTGGCTTCGGCAGCCGGCCTTCTACCAGGTACGCGATGGGGCAGAGCTGGCGGGAGTGGACGCCTGTCTCCCACCTGGCCCTTGCTCCCGGGCTGCAGACAGGATGGCCCGTAGATGAGCAACAGATTCCCCGTCTCACAGCAGGGCAGACACTGCAGATCAGTGACTGCTTTCCTCTCCCCCGGACCAGCCGTGGTCCCTAACGGTGGGTCAGGTGTGAGCTGCAGCAAGGCCCTTGGTGTCCCCCGCTGGTGTCTGACCCTGAACCAGCCCCCGTTTGCCCGCAGGTGGGCTTCCTGTACATGAGCACGAGGCTCATCGTGAACCTGTCCCAGACGTACATGGCCATGTATCTCACCTACTCCCTGAACCTGCCCAAGGTGAGCTGGGCAGGGGGCAGGGCTGTGGGGTGGCCCTGAGCCCCAGGAGGCCCACCTGACCCGCGTGTCCACTCCGCCCCAACAGAAGTTCATCGCCACCATCCCGCTGGTGATGTACCTCAGCGGCTTCTTCTCCTCCTTCCTCATGAACCCGGTCAACAAGTGGATCGGGAGGAACGTGAGTGTGGGTTGGTGGGGACGGTGGGGGTGTGCCATAGTCAGGGACCCTCAGAACTCGGGTGCACAGAAGCCAGGTGTTTGCATACCTCGGCCTCTGCGCCTTGTGGCTGCCGTGTCGCAGATCCGTGTTCTAGAATCCTGGCTCCTGAGCTCCCAAGGGCTGCAGAGCTCTGGAAATTTCTATGCAGACCATGTGCTAGCTAGGGTGGCTATTTAGTATTGAAATGTGGCAGGCATGATGGAAGAACTGAATGTTTTATTAAAATTTTTTAAAATGTATTATTGACTTCAGAGAAGGGAGAGAGAAACATCAATGATGAGTCATTGACTGTCTGCCTCCTGCACCTTCTGCACTGGGGATTGAGCCCATAACCCGGGCATGTGCCATGATCAGGAATCATACTGTGACCTCCTGGTTCATAGGTCAGTGCTCAACCGTTGAGCCATGCTAGCTGGGCCATTTTATTTAATTTTAATAGATTTGCACATAACGATGTAAATAGCCACCTGTCCCTAGACTGTCAGCTCCTGGGTGAGGTCAGAGCTGGGGGCTCCTTAGGGATGGTCCAACTTGGCCCCCTCCCTTTCTGGGGTTAGGGTCTAAGGTGGTGCTGAAGACCAGAGAGGGCAAGCGCCAGGCTGGGAGCTGCACAGCGAGGCGGGCCTGATGCCGGTCTCTCCTGCAGATGACTTACTTCGTGGGCCTTCTGGTGATCCTGGCCTTTGCGGCCTGGGTGGCATTGGCAGATGGGCTGGGTGTAGCTGTCTACGGAGCAGCTGTGCTGTTGGGCACGGGCTGTGCCACCATCCTTGTCACCTCACTGGCCATGACAGCGGACCTCATCGGCCCCCACACGGTAGGGCTGGTGGGCAGGCTGGTGGGGGCCCCAGGCCCAGGCCCAGGCCGCTAACCTCCCTGCCTGTGTCCTCCCAGCACAGCGGAGCCTTCGTGTACGGCGCCATGAGCTTCTCGGATAAGGTAGCCAACGGGCTGGCAGTCATGGCCATCCAGAGCCTGTACCCCTGCTCGTGAGTGTGACTCGTTTGTAGTTCATGTGGCGAAGGCGGGCAGTGCTAGCGTGTGCGGGCAGTGCTTCATGCCTAGGGCATTGTGGGAATGTGAGTGGGCAGTGCTACAGGGGAGCCAGGCTCTGTGTCACTCAGACCCTCAGCCTGGGATTTCAGTCCTAGACGAATCTAGACCACTGAGTTCTCGCCTTACAGAAGCCCAGGATCTGGGAACCAGAACTAGCCTGGTCTTTTGTCGTCATGGAGTTGGGGGTAATATGCACCATGTTAATCACAGGAATAAATGTGTGATCCAGACCAGGGGTCAGGGGGATGAAGGCCACCACATACGGAGGCTGACGGGCGCAGGTCAGGGAGGACTTCCTTGAGGAGGTGACATCGGTCCTGAGACCTGGTGGATATCAGAGCGGTCTAGGCAAATGGGAAGGAATAGCCAGTGCAGAGGCTGGAGCAGGCCCGGGCCTGGTGCGCGGGGAGAGCACAGTGGAGGCCGTGGCTGGAGCAGAGGGAGGGAAGGGGAGAGCCAGCGGGGAGAGGTTTGTGGCAGGTCTTACAGAGCCTGTGGAGGACTTGGGCTTTTACCCCAAGGGAGTTTGGGAGCCCTGGCTCAGGGGCTTAGAGGCGCCCTCTTGTGGCTGCCTCCAGAAGGACGGTGTGTGGAAGGTGAGGGCTGGTCCAGGTGGGTGGTGATGCGCTGGACCAGGAGGAGGAAGGGGATTAGTGGGAAGAACTGGGATAGACTCTGAAGGCATTGCTGGTAGTATCGGCTGAAGGGTCGTGTGGGAGGAAGAAAGGTGGTCGGGGGTGACTCCAGGTTCTGGCCTGAATGCTGGGAAAGACAGGGCGGCCTGTAGCTGAGGTGGGCAGTCAGAGGCCCTGACTCGAGGGTCCCCGCAAATGTCTGCTCACCTGCTCTGTCCCCCCTTCCCAGCTCGGAGCTCTGCTGCGGGGCCTGCGCAGGCTTCTACCACTGGGCAATGGTGGCCGTGACAGGCGGTGTCGGGGTGGCGGCTGCCCTCTCTCTGTGCAGCATCCTCATCTGGCCCATCCGCCTGCGGAGCTGTGAGTTGCAGACACTCCCCTCTATTCCCAACCTGGCCATGGGTGGGAGGACTGGGGCAGGCCCCATGCTCACTAAACCCCCCTCTCTTGCAGGAGTCCCTGGAGCTCAACCCTGACACTCCCATATGGCCTCCTGCTCTATGCAAATGAGCTGCAACTGTGCACATTCTAGGCCCTGCTCCTCAGATCCCTGCCGCCTCCTGCCTGGCTGCAGGGAGGGTGGGTGAGGACAAGAGGGGCTGGACCCCCCCGGCCCATCTCCACTGGGGTGAGACATAGCTAGGCCTTCTGGTGTCAGGAGCCCATGGGTCCTCATCGGTTTGGGGGTGCCTAAGCCTCACTTGAATGGGTGACTTGGGGTGCCCTTGCTATGTTGTACGGGGCTGCCCTGAACTCAGCTCCCCCTCACCCCTGGCCAGCTCGGGTCTCCAGGCGCTGCTGGCAGTGAATGAAGAGCTCACAGGAAGGCTGGCCTCAGCTGTCTTCCTGGGGCCTGGGACGAGGAGGGCAGTAGGGTCCCTACTCTGGTCGCTGAGGTGTTGGCCGGCCAGAGCCCAGTCCCCAGATGTAGACAGACCCCGGCGGAGAGGCACAGTGTCCCCCACAGGGACAGTCTTTATCAGATGGTGGGCATGTAGATGGGTGAGGCCCGCTGGCCAGTGGATGGGCAGTAGGGTTCCAGGTCCCACTGCCGGTAGTTCTGGGCTGTGTAGCGCGGACGCTGCGTTGCTGACAGGTAGGGCACGTAGTCTGACACCTGCCCCGGAGGCTCCACCCCGTATTGGTGCCTGTTGACCACTGTGGGACAGGACCCAAGTCACCTCCTGGCTCCAGTTTCCTGGGCCCAGGCAGTTTTACCCCATCCCTTGGCCCCTGATGCCAGCCTCACCATATTCTTTGCCCGAGATGGGTCTGTCTGCCCACAGCATGGCCCCCCACCGCGTGCTGGGGGCCCTGTACTGAGCGGGCAGCATGGGGTCATACCAGGCAGTCTCCCGGAGGTGCTGGGCTTGGGCTGCAGGGAGAGTGGGAGACAAGGTCATCTTTGGCCCTTGACCTCCCCTTGGGGCTAGCAAGGGCCAAGGTGGACGGCCAGGCGCGCACCTGAGGGCATGCTGTGCTTCCGGTGGTTATGGCATCCATGCCAGAGGGCATAAGCCTCCCGGTAGGGGCTGTCCAGAGCCCGTGGGAGCGTGTACCAGGCTTCACGGGGGTCCGAGTTGGTTAGGCCGGTGTACCATGTCTGGCCAGCAGCGTCACGTCCCATGGGTGTGTACTTCCAGCGCACTGCCTGCTTGATGGCTGGTGTCCAGCGGGGCCCCTCCAGGGACAGGTAGTCATCACTGCGGGTCGAGGTAGGGGACAGAGGCTAAGCCTGTGGTTGTCCCTTGCCCCACCCTGGGCAACAGCTTGCCCATCTCTAGAATGGGTCTTTGCCCTCACTGCCACGTGGTGTGACATGGGTGGAGGGCGCAGAGGCCCAGCCCACACTGCAGAGGGCCTTCCTCCAGCCATGTGGCCAGCCATTGGCCATGTGTCCTCAGCACTGGACACTCCTGCCCAGGCTGGCAGGGGAGAGGCCCCCTCCTCTCTGCCACATCCTCCCCAGATCCCTCCCTCAGCCTTTCATCTCTTCTTGCCTCTCCCCCAAAGGACACCAGGGAGCGAGGATATAAAAGCTGTGGCCACTCCTGTGGTCCCAAGTCCTTGTCCAGCCTCCCAGATGCACAGGCCCCCTCCTCCAGGCAGCCCCTGGTCCTCAGGCTCCAGAAGAAGTGGTCTCAGCTGAGTGGCTGAGAGCATGTGGGGTGAGGACAAGCTTCCATTGAAAGAACAAACTATGTAGCTATTCGTCTGAGCCTGTCCCAGAGGCAGCTCTGGTGCCAGAGCCTGTCTCGGTTGAGAACACAAGCAAACTGAGGAAGCAGGAGGGGAGGCTGAGGGGAGACCACTGCAGGTGCAGGGAGTAAGGTGCATGGGCCCTGGGGCAGCAGAGGATGGGTTAAGGAACAAGGGGCTGCAGTGCAGGTTTGTGGAAATATGCTAATGAGGGGAAAACCAAACCTTGATGAGGTACCATTAAAACCAAACCTTGATGAGGTACCATTAAAACTAAAAAGCAGAGCCCTGACCAGCAGCTCAGTTGGTTAAAGCACTGTCCCCACATGCCAAGATTTCCGGTTTGATCCCTGCTCAGGGTACATTCGAGAATTAACTAAGAATGTGTAAATAAGTGGAACAGTAAGTTGTCGTTTCTCCCCCCACCTTCCTCTCTAAAATCGGTTTTTAAAAACGGCGGGAAAACAGTGCTGTTGATGGGAAGCTGCACGGGAACTTGCTTAGTCATAGACCTCACGTGGCAGTTCCTTCTGGAACGCAACCCTCCAGCACTGCTGCCGAGGCTAAGATGTGCGTGTGCTCTGATCTGGGAGCCGCTCCTGGAAAGTCACCGGCCAATGAGATCGGCCGCCCAGGAGGCCTCAGCAGGACCACGACAGAACGCCGTTAGCGCCGCCAAGCACAGGGGACCAGGTGGCTCTCCCTCCACATCTAACAGGAGCCTCGGAACTAGAAACCACGGTGTAAAGGTGGGACCAGCCTGGAGCATGTCTCCAATCTGCCACCCAAAGGGACATTTCAAGTTCACTGGGGTACCCCGCCCTTTGAAACAAAGATTTCTAAACTGCAAAATGTAATTAAAATGCTCTGATGTCATATAAAATGAAGAGTGAGTATTCCTTTACCCCAGCCACCAGCCTGGACCTAATTTCTTCCAGAAACGGGCAGTACATGCACTGTCCCTCTAGTACAGAACGTGGGAACTCGCACCGTTTCACATCTTTTTTCCCCTCGCACACGGAGCGGCACAAAGAACACTCATCTAATTTTGTTTTTACGGCTGCAAAATAACCATAACTTGTTCCAACAGCCACTTATTAACGGGCACTCTCCTGGGCTGAGTGATCCTCATAATGTACGTCCACCTGGAACCTCACCACATGAACTTGGCAGAAAGAACCTGCTAACATGAGGTCACAGTGGGCAGGTGGGCCCTGGTGTCCTGTAAGGCCAGGGGACCTGGGCACACACAGGTCAATAATGAAGGCACCTGTCTACAAGCTGAGGGACACCAAGAATTGCCAGTAAATCCCCAGAAGCTAGGAGAAAGCAGAACAGATTTTCTGTCCTAGTCTGGGAAGGAACTAGTCCCGCTGACGTCTTGATCTTGGGTTTCTGGTCTCCAGACTTGGGAGAATAAATTCCTGGCATTTGACACACATACTCAGTGTGTGTCAGCAATCCTAGGAAACGCCTAGATATCTACTTTCTCAGTTTGCTGTGTGTGTTGTGCCCCACCGTGAGGAAACTTGTGTGAATTGCTGCCCCCCCTTCCCGGTCTCCAAGCCTGCCTTGCTCTGTTAGCGGGGTGGGGGGAGGGGAGGGCACCCAGGTGCAGGTGGACGGGAGGTGCAGGGAGCAGACAAGTGAGGGTGCAGCACCAACGTGCCTTTTTTGAAGAAACAGATACTCGGGAAAAACCAAAACAAATCCATCACTGATCCAGAAAGGCCGTGCCTGGGGGTAGGTGGGCACTCACCTGGAGAGAGGTGGCGGGAAGTCCACTTCGAGGGTCCTCCCGGGGACATAGGACTGGGGAGCCTCCCGCCTCTGCGTCTGCATGTCTGCCTCTGGGCTCCTGGGTGCTCCTGCCTAGAAGGCCTGGGAGGCCATTGTTACAGCAACAAAGACCACTCTGTGTCCTGGCAATGCTGCTGGCAGCCTGGCTGCCATCCAGGCCACTCCCTCCTGCCCGCTGAGGGGCTGACAGGAGGTGGGGCCACACCTGGTGGCTTGGGCCTCAGTGCTCCCCCCCCCATCTCCACATGGGGGGTCTCTGAGCCAAAGAGAGCTTCTGATGCTTAGGCGGGAACTGCCAGCCCCAACCCCTCCCTCCTCACCCCACCCCATCCAGTCCTCATGTTTCATATTACATCAGAGCAAAATCCTGCAAATGAATGTTCATAACATGATTCACAACCAGGAAGTGGAATTTAGTAAATGCCCATTGACAAACAAAATGGGGCCCATCCATGCACACATCCGTGGCAGAATCCTCAGCCACGAAGAGAAGTGCCACTGCAATGGGCTGGGCCTTAAGGACACGGTGCTCAGTGAGAGAAGCCAGACACAAAAAGCCACAGAGCGTGTGATTCCGTTTATGTGAAACGTCCAGGACAGGCACATCCAAGACAGAAGGTGGGCTCCTGGTTGCTGGGGGTGGAAAGTGACTTAGTGGAGGTGTGGTTTTTGGGAAGGTGATGGAAATGTTCTGGAATTAGAGGTGCTGTTTGCACAAACTGTGAATACACCAAATGCCACGGAATGTTCAGCTGAAGAAGGTAAACATTAAGTTATGCATATTTTACCACAATTAAAAAGTAATAAATCCCACGATCTACCCTCTTTTCACCTCCACCTGGTCCGGGCCAGTCACAGCCTCTGTGGCCCCCCTGTGCCCCTGCACCAGTGGTCAAGCCTCCACACAACATGTGTTTTTCCCTCTCAGCTCAGTACAAGGGCTCCCTCAGGGTGAAGACCCAGGTCCTGCCCACAGCCCACCCATGAGGCCCTGCAAGGCCTGCCCTGGCCCCTCCTTGCCCCCACTTCACCCCCTTCTCCATCCACTTGCTCACTCCGCTGGACCAAAGGGCCTCCTCACTGTTCTCCAGCACTCCGGGAACTCCCCTTCCACAGCGGAGTCTGCCCAGAGGTGGTCTGCTCTTCTTCCAACGCTTGCTCACACATGAGCTTGTAGCAAGTCCTGGACCCGAAGCTGTCCTTTCCTAAGCCTCCTTCTTCATCACAGCACACACCCCTCTCCACTGACAGAAGCCCATGAGGGCAGGTCTGGGATCTGATCTGTCCTGTTGTCCCTGCTGCCGAGGTCAGGATCTCCCCTGGAGGGAAAGGCCCGCCTGCTCCCCAGCACGCAGCTGCCAGTCCCGTCTCCACCTGGGCTCTCAGGGCCTCACTGCCGCACTGGCCTCTGCCTCACCCTCAACTCCCCTTTCCCTCTCCCAAAAAAGCCACATAGAAGGATGCCTGACAGACCATGCCCCCCTGCTTTCAGTCCTGTCAGGTGGAGGTGGAAGCACCTGCTCTGCCTGAGAACTTCTGTGCAGCTTGCAGCCCCCATAAGCCCTCCCTGCCCTGCCCCCATCTCACTGCATGTGGGGACCACCACCCAGGCCAGCTGCAAGGAGGGTGTGGATGCATGTTACCCATATCCCCACGAGGTCATGAAATCAGGGACACAGGCATCCCTCAAAGACAGTTCACCCAGGCAGGTGGCTCACCACCTGTTTGTGACGTCCAGGCTGTCTGGGGCCTGGTGCAGCTGTCAGCCGGCCCAGCCAGCTGGACAGCCGGCCCTAGCCCATACCTGGCACAACGACAGCGAGACCACATTAGATGAGACACAGGCTCCCTGTGCAGCCCCCCAGACCCGCAGGCCGGGGAACACACATTCCTCTGTTGTCTCAACTCCCAGGCGTGGGTCCTACACACAGAGCCAGCTCCTGGGCTCTTCGGCAGCTACACAGGGTGAGGATGTGGTAGGGTAGAACTGTTATTTAAAAAAGACTCAAGCAAAAATAACATGATGACCAATCGAAGCACACACATCTATGTACACTGTCCTTGCTTGAGGCTATGGCACACAAATGCTGGGATGGGGCAGGGTCCCACCCTTCCCCGAATCCAAGCAGGTTCAGCTGATCACCCCTCCTAAATGAAGGCTTTAAAAGCTGCGATTCCTGTCACCCCAGGCGTGGTGGGGTGGGCCAAGCCCTTCTCCAATTAGCCTTACACATTTCTGGAACCATCCATAAAACACAAAACAATCCAAAGAAAAGTCACAAATACATATATACACATGCACACACAGGGCCGGCTGCGGGGGGAGCACTAACTGAGGGGCACCTAGAAGCAGAGCCAGAGTGACCTCCATCCCCCCCAGGCCTGCTCTGCCTCTACCACACCTGGTTCACCCGCTCCAATCTCTCCGGGTCTGGAAGAGAGGTGTACCCAGCGTGGCCAGAGGACAACAGGGTGGGAGCAGGGTCGGAGGGCCCCTGGAAAGCTTCCGGGAACCAGTGGCTGCCCCTCCCCTCTCTCCTCTCTGGCTTCCGGGGGTCGCAGGCATGGTTGGACAGGACACATGGGGAAGGAACCTGGGAGGAGGGTGAGGCACCCTGAGGCCGCCTAGATCTGTGCACCCAGCAGCCACAGGAACCGCGTCCCGCTGCTGCCAGAGTCAGCTGTCCCCATCGGTGACAAGAGCAGTGCAGGTCAGGGCAAGCCCGTGCTGACAAGTGGGCCCAACTTCAGTTTTCCAGGAACAAGTCCATCTCGAGATGACCTCCTCTGGTGCACAGCCTGCTGGGCCTGCTCCTGATGCCTGGCCCTAGCAGTCACTGGGATAGCTGCCAGCGGAGGGACAGCAGAGGTGGCCGCAAAGAGACCTATCGGGAGTGTCCTGTGGATCCACGGGCTGACCTGAACGTCCTGCTGCGGGGCCCTCCCCTTGCATCCAGCTGTTCCTCCCGTCGCAGACGTGGGCAGTGGTAGTACCGGTGAACCCATGCTTCTGGGGAGAGCATGCACCTCAACAAAGTGACGATGGACACAAAGGGAAGCAGGTGGGGTCCAGGGAGGCGTCCATCCCCATCCGAGTGTAGACGGTCAAAGCCGGGGCCTGGGTCACCTCGTGTGAAGGGAGCCGGAACCCCACATGCCTGGTGGTGCCCAACCACATCCCCCCAAACACCGCTGACAGGGTTCGCAATGAGGCTTTAATGAGAATCTTCAGGGTCTCTGGGCCCGGCTCCCGCCCGCCCCGACTGCTTCCTCTGGGAACATGTGCAGGAGGGAGGGTCATGCACGTGATGACAGGTGGTGCTCCTCTGCCCTGATGGCTGGGCCGTGGTTTACCGGATCCTGGTGAAGAGGTTGAGGACAGACACAGATTCCTGCAGGGCACACAGGAGAGAGAGCTGAGCCTGGAGCTGAGGGGAACAGAGGCTCCGGGCAGAGGAGGAGCACTGAGGAGGCACCCTGTTTCCTGGCGCCCTGGCTGGGGTGCAGAGCAATGCAGGAGCAGCTAGAGGGGATGCAGGCAGGCCCGGGGGAGTTACAGCAGAGTCTGAACAGAGCTCTCAGGTGGCGGGGGGACGGCCCCCAGGACAGGCTGAGGGGATGTGCATGGGGGAACATGTGGCGCTGTACCGACCCACTTTACCTTTGTCGAACGAGTTTTGCTAAAGACATTCCAGAACCTCAGGGTTTCGTCTCCAGCACCAGTGACGATGGCCTCTCCATCAGGGGACATGGCCTGCAGGAGAGAGCCTCACTGTTCTTGTGCCCTGCAGGCGGTCCCATGAGTGGAGTCGATGACGGAGGACAGGGGCGGGGGCAGGGCCCCCACCAAAGCCAAAAACTCAGGATGCCCAGCCCCTACTCTACTCTGTGCGCCTGAGCAAAGCTCTGACGGGGTGGGCACAGCACGTTTCTTCTGGAAAGAAAGAGAACATCTGAGGAGGGATGGAGAGGGCTCCTGTCCGCAGGCCCATGCAAGTAGGTTATCTGATGACCTGTCCTCAGAGGTTTTCTGAGCAGTAGGATGGGGGGCTGTGCTTCATCATGAAGATAAACTAATGTGTGGAGACTCAGGAGGGCACAGCTGCCCTTCCTCACAGAGCTGGGAGTTCAAGAAAGTAGATTCAAAGTGATGACACAATTAACGTTTGAAAGCAGAACATGGGAGCTGGCCTGGACCACCCCGCCCCCGCCCCACAGACCCTGGGTGGGGAGGTTGCCAACTGACTCTGCCCCTGCCTTCCGGGGGCCCGCGCTGGGCCTGGGCCCACAGTGCAGACTCACCAGGTACAGAACTCGGTAGGAGTGCCCGGTCAGCTTGGCCACCTGGGTCAGGGACGGGTACTTCCAGACCAGGATCTGGTTCTGTGAGTAGCCGTGTGTGCTAACCTGCGGGGGTAGAAGGCACTGTCAGAACCCCAGGACTCAGATCAACTGTCCATCCCCGATACACCCACTGAAGAGCAAGGGCACCTGGGACTGCCCAGCCCCTTGCCCCCAAACTCTGCTTGATGATGAAGGTGACAGGGAGCTACACTGTACCCAGAGCTCAGCCAGCCTCTGCTGGTGGTCGCAGGCATGGACACCCAGATTAGGGGCAGATCAGATTCACCCTAGGACTCCAGGAAAGGCACTGCAGGGGCCCAGGGTTTCTGCTCCAGAACCTTCTCATGCACACCACAAGGCCCTGCCATGGCACTCACCAGCTCATTGGCGTGCTTGGACCAGGCCAGGTTGCACACCTGGGAGCCTGTGTCAATGCACTGCAGTGGCTGCCCCGTGAGCGTGTTCCAGAAGCGGATGCAGCGGTCGGCCGTGCCGCCGCCGGATGCCAGCAGCCCGTGCTGATGCGGGGACCAGGCTATGGCTTTCACGGCTGCCAGGTGCTCTGTGTACTGCTGCACGGGACTCAGACTCGAGTGGTTCCAGACCAGCAGCTGGGGGGTGGGGGGTGGGGTGGCAGCAGCTGTTAGGCCCTCCAGCGGCTGTCACCCCTGGGCAAGCCCTCAAGGGAAGGATGAATGGCTTCACTCCAACCCATCATGGTCCTCCCTCAGGGCACACCCTTGTCACCCCTGCTCTGAGGATGAGGGCTGGCTGAGTGGGTGGGATAATCCCCTGGATAATGAGGGGCCAGGGCACCTACCTTGTTGTCATTGCCTCCTGAGGCAAGGAGCTGGTGGTCTGTGGACCACTTGAGCCCGCACACCTCCTGCCGGTGGCCCTGCAGCCGCCGCTCCGACTGCAGGGGCGGGGTGCGAATGTCCCTTTGCAGGATCATGCGATCCCGGCTTCCAGATGAGAGCTGATCGGCATTCCAGGCCAGCGCTCCTGGAGACCAGACAGGAGGCAGGGTGAGGCCGCGGCCTGGCCTCTCGGACACAGGGTGCACTGGGAATCAAGCCCACCCATTGGGATTGCCACCCCACCAGGACCCTGGGCTCCTCACCGACTCGGGCCGTGTGGCCTTCTAGCATGGAGAGCTTCTTTCCCGCGGCTGCATCCCAGATCTGTACAAAGCCCTTGTGTGTGCCGACGGCCACCAGGTTCCCCTAGGACGTGGTCGTCAAACTCGTTAGGCAACAGAGCCAAATATCAACAGCACAACGATTGAAATTTCTATCGAGAGCCACATTTTTAAAACTTAAACTTCTTCTAACGCCACTTCTTCAAAATAGACTCGCCCAGGCCGTGGTATTTTGTGGAAGAGCCACACTCAAGGGGCCAAAGAGCCGCATGTGGCTCTCGAGCCGCAGTTTTCCGGTCATGGCCCTAGGACCAAGGACCCGGACAAGAGCAGGCATCGGGCCCTGATGTGAGGAGGACCCAGCCTCCCTGGGTTCTCCTTGCATGTCCCTTCTCATCAAGGCGACACCCATCTTGTCCTGGAACTTACTGGGGAGATGGGTTTGTCAAAATCAGCAAACACACATTTAAGACCCATGCACTTCAATGTGTGAACTTGCCTGCCTGAGCCTGGCCTGCCTCTTGGCTGGGGTGAAGGATGGGGCTCTGAAAGGACTGAGGTTAACGCTATGTCTGTGGGGGGAGTCCTGCCAGCAACCCTGTCACTGTAACAGTCTCTACCAGGTGGGGACAGGCAGGACGCAGACATCACTCTGGGTCTCCCAAACCCCAAACAAGGACCCTTGCCAGCAAAGCCCAGTCAGACCTCCCCTGCCCAGCCCACCCAGCCCAGCCCAGCCCAGGAATGAACCCTGTATACTAACCCGTTCAGACCAGCCCACGGAAGTCACCGAGTCCCCTTCCACAGAGAGGTCACAGAGTCGGGTCACCTGGGGGAAGGAGGGAGCGGTCGGTGTGAGCTGACGTACTGCCCGCTGATCCTTCCAGGCCCCACTGTTCACTCGTTCATTCATCCATCCGTTTATTCATTCAGTCACCCCTCAGGCCTACGGGCACTGGGGTTCATGCTGGGGCCTGAGATAATGGTGCTGGGGTGCCCAGGAGGCTGCCGGCTGCAAGGGGACACATGCAGCACAGGGGTGAGTGACTGGAAAGTCTGGGGAGGTGACGAGGGCACCACACACCGGGGGTGCCTCTCTCTCTAGGGGGCATCGCACCTTCTTTTGGTGATTAATGCATCACTACTCGCATTAACCTCTGAAGGCCTCCCACCCTGCAGGCGTGTCTGAGCCTGTGGCGGGCCTAGCTGCACCTCAGAGAGTGCTGGTGGGGCAGCCCCCAGGCTCAGCCAGACTGAACAGCCATTCGCCCTCCTCTGTGGACACAGGCAGAGAGTAAGGACTACTGGTCATTGCGGGAGACAGCCCACAGCAGAAGGCCTCCACTCATACCGGCTGGCTATTCCTGAGTCCGGTCTGTACTTGGAAGGTGGGCCTCGGTGGGAGAGGTTGGCCAGGTGCTGCCCCAGGCTCACTTATTCTTCACCTGGGCCAGCCCGACTCAATGCCAGAGGAAGCCACCCACCCCCGAGGCACACACACATGCGAGCACGTGACCACACACTTGTAGGCACGGAAGAACCCACCTGGCTGGTGCAGGCGCTCCACAGGTACACGCAGGTGCCCAGCCCCACACTGAGCACATTGAGAGATGACCAGTCCACCAGGTTCAGGTAGAAGTCGTCCTGCAACTCGGGTGCATCCAGAACCTTGAAGGGGATCTTGGAGATCTTGCGGGTGGGTTTCCGTGGCGATCGCAGTAACTTCTGGCTGTAGGGAGAGCCCGAGACGGTGATTTTCTGTCCGTCAGCCACGTGGTTATCATTACTCTTTGGCTAATGTTACTACCCCTGGTTCACACTAGTTCTTGGCATATCCCCTCCCGCTCATCTTGCCCTTCTGCCTGCAAGATCCCAAAACTGTGGGTGACCCCAGGCACACAAGGCCCTTTGCCCTTGGGTGTTTGGCCACCCCAAGCCTCAACAGCCACACCGTCCCCTCTGCTTGGCACCTCCTCCAGAGAGCCCTCCCTGACTCCCTCTTCCCCAGTCTGGACCCAAAGCCTTCAGGCTGACAGTGCGCCCCAGAGAGCGGTCCTAAGACCAACTGCAGCTCTCACTGTACTGCCTGGCTGCTCACCCGCCCTGTCCCACCCTCAGACCCTGACTCACCTTTTGTTACTGACTGGCGACAGGGAGTAGGGAGACACATCATTTCCGTCATCCGGGCTCGAGCGCTTGGTACTGAGGGAATACTGGAGGAAGCATGGACAATATCTACTGAGTGGACACTGGCCCACAGCTCAGGAACCTCAGACTCAAAGCTTGGGTGCCCTGAGCTCCTGGTGGTTAGGCGGAAGAGTGAGGGTGGTACTCGCCATAACTAGAAGACTCTAACTTGGTGTGTCCTAGGTTCCGGAAACTCAGAAAAGCAAACCAGGACCCCTCTAGGTGTGACTGCCAGCATGCTCCTGCCCCCTCAGAGCCACCAGCCCCTCAGCCATCCTGAAGTCAGGCTCTTTTCGACTCTGCCAGGGGCCCCGAGGACCCGGGATGGCTTGGGCATGCTCTGTGGGGTGGCTCTGCTGAGGCCACTGTCCCTTCACCCTGCACCAGACCACCTGCCCCAGAGTAACCTTTGTCTCAGCAGATGCCAAGGAGCGCCACAGGGCAAACCTCGGGGTTAAAGGGGCCTGGCCCTGCCTTCTCCCACCCTCTCTGGGTTCAAGGCCCCCAGCAGGGCTGGAGTGTGGAGGAGGAGGAACCCAGGGAGGCTGAGGCTGAGCCTGGATCAGTCATGGAGGATAGGGACTCTGTCCCCAGCAGGAAGCATCGGCCAGTGCGGGCATGGCCGGCAGGCTCACCGTGAACAGGCCCTTCTTCTCGGGCGTGGAAGGCTGCAGCCTGCGGTCCTCCGTCTGCGGGTCCTGCACCTTCTCAATGCCGGCCCCTAGCAGCTCATTCTTCAGCAGGGCGGAGTAGGCCAGGCCATCTGCCGGCACCAAACACAGTGAGAGGCTGGGGTGGGACCAGGCGAGGGGGTGAAAGAGAGAGGGTGTCTGTCTGCGGCCCTGACTCCTGACCTTTGCCATTGTCCGAGGTGGCGTCCTTGGCTTTGCGGTTCTGGCTGGGAGACTTCTCATTTTCCTGCGGGAGAGGGGAGGCGGGTGAGCCGGCATGGCGTGGCCTGCCACGGGCTTCTCCCCGCCCGCCCTGTCCTGTCCTCACATTGATCCTGTGGAAGTTGACGCTCCAGTTGGCGCCCGCTCTGGAGGGGATGAAGCGGTCCCCGTGCTTGCTGGGGGAGGACACGGGGGAGTTGGTAGGTGTCAAGGTCCGTCGCATCTCTGAGACCTAAAAGGATGGCAGGGGGAGTTGGGTGCCTCAGAGCCACAGCCTGACCCGCCCACCCTACTGCTGCCTTTGGTCTCTAGCCACGGACCCAGGGGTTCCGTCTTGGAAACCAAGGGGCAGAGGTAAAACATTTGGGTAAATAACTCATGCTGGACCTGCTGGCAGCTTTGTGAGGCAAAAAGAGGCCAGGGAGCAATAGAGCCCAAGACATCAGCATGCGACAAGGTGGCTTTATATTTCTAAGCGGCCACAGGACCAGAAAGCTGACTGGGAGAACCTGTGGCCCCACCGCCTATATCCCTGCCCATGGGGACGATCTTCTCCAGAGAGCAACAGCTCAACCACCCGAACCGAGACGTGAAGGGGGGTGCGCAGCTTCCAGCCAACCCTCTGGCGAACGTCCTTAACCTATAAGCTATCTGCCGTGGGCTGAACTGTGTCCTCCAAAAGCAAACGCTGAAGTCCGAGGCTCTAAAATGAATGCCCGTTATCCTCATTAGAGTCAGAGAAACCGACACAGAAAGGGGAACGTGAAATGAGGCAGAGACCGAAGTGATGGATCTAAAAGCCAAGGATTCCCGGCCAAACCAGAAGGATCTCCCCAGACCCCTCAGCCCGGTCTCCCTGCCCCACAGGCTCCTGGTCCCAGGACCCTGACCTCCTCCCACGCCAGCCTGGCCAGCCCAGGCCAGCCCTGTGGGGCCGGGGCCGAGCCCCAGCTCTGTGGTGCTGGGCCCTTCACTGCCTGTTGGGAAAATGGAAGGTGGCTCACACGCCCGCCTCCCCCAGGCAGTCCTGTATGGCCCAAGAGCAGAGCTGGTGCCCTCTGCAGGCCGGGCACGGGCCAGTAAAGGGGCCTCCGGCAGGAGGAGGGCAGGTCACTGCAGCTCTGGTGGCTAGGGTGCCGTCATGGGGAGGAGCTCTGGGGAGGATGTGTTTTCCACCTGCACAGCACCTCCCTCTTCTGCTGAGGGCTGAAGCCCCGTGGTCAGCCATACCCCTCACCCCATCTCCCCACCAGCTCCACGGGCCAAGCCAGCACTGGCAGGGTGACCACCGCTACTCACACATGGCATCGTGTTCTCGTTCTGGATGACAATCTGCCGAAGGAGGCGCCGCTCATAGTCCTGGTCCATGGTGAGGCTGGGCAGGGGCAGCTGCCGGCCACGTCAGGCCACCACGTCCAGCAGCCAAAGTCAGGAAGGGGATGCGCAGCTCAGCACCAGGGGGCAGCGGCCGCACCAGCACCTGGGTACCACAGAGCACTGCTCAGCACCGGCCAAGTTTCCCCACCGTGTGGCAGGTCCTCCCTCCCAGGGGCCCAGAGCTTGGGCGTGGCCTACCCCACAGGCCTTGGGAGTCACGGGGAGACACAACCTGGACAAACGGGACTCTCCCTGCTTCCTCTGGGGGGCCTTCTGTCAGGACCCTTCACTTCTGTCCTGGTTAGGGCAAGGCTGCCCCTACGCCCGACTCCCAAGGACTTACCCCAAGTCCCGCTCCTCCAACCCAGGCCTCCATCTCATTGCCTTCTTACTTCAGACCCTGAGACCAGGAGCCATCCAAGGAACCCTGGCTCCTTGGCTCCCGGCCCAAGAAGGAGGCATGGGGCTGGGCATGGGTTGGGGCTGTACCAGGGAGGGTCCATACATTCCACAGGTATCTGCCAGGGCACACTGGAGCCCAGGCCCTGTGCAGGCACTTGAACCCCAGGGCCAGGCAGACCAGGCTGTGACCCAGGGAAATTGGCCTCCAGCTTCCAGCTTCTGCCCAGCTCCCACTGAGCTCCACCCGATCTGGGGAGGCCTCCCTGAGGAAGGGGAGGGAGAGATCACCAGCAAAAGGAGGCTGAGGACAATGCTCTAGAGCACATGTGTCAAACACAAGGCCCGCGGGCCAAATCCGTCCCGCCAGGCCTTGCAATGTGGCCCGCACTGCGCTGTCATCACTGCACTCTGCTGCGTTTCCATCACAATGACAGTTTATGACTGACTGTTCAGTAAACCATTCGGCCCGCGATTTAGGCTGGATTTTAGATTTTGGCCCCTTCTCTGATTGAGTTCGACACCCCTACTCTAGAGGGAAGGGCAGATCTGAGGAAGAAGGGCTTTCTGCCTCCCAGGCTGGGGCAGAGTGAGCGGCAGCTCAGAAAGGAGGGCAGTTCTTTATGGCAGGGATGGCAAACCGAGACCTGGGGACAACCCAGGCCCACAGCCACACTCTGGCTGCTTTCAGAAGAAAGCGTTAGCCAGTCCAGCCTCCCCTCAAGGCCCAGCAGAGCGTGGAGGGTAATGCAGGTTGCCAGGACAGAGCCTGACACAGAAGGGGTTCAGCAGACTGCAGCTTCTTGCTGTAGGCCTGCCCTGTGCCCCAGCACCCTGGCAGTCAATGGCCCTCTACTCCTCTGGCTGGAGCCCAAAGGTCCGCCTAAATTCTATCCCCAAACCCCGGATGGCCCCTCTGATGAACAGCCGGCCCACCGGGGCCACGCAGGCTGAGTGGCTGCAGCACCGGCTCTAGCCAGCCAGGCACTGTCCCTCACAGGCCGTCACCGCACACACGGGAACGCCTAGAGGTGGCCCAGTCCCGAAGCCAGGTGCTTGGTCCAAACGCAGGGCACAGCCATGGCTCCCAGTGTTCCCGCCACCTTCCACATTAGCGAGCTTGCATGTTTTATCTCATGCTCCCCCCCCCCCCCCCAGCATCGAGAACTAGGTGCCACACCCTCATGCAGATGAAGATGTGAAGGCTGAGTGAGGGGCACCAGTGAGTCTGTGCTAGCTTGGAGCCCCAAGCCCCACTGACCAGACCTCAGTAGACCGGCTCTGATGAGAAAAGTAGGACAGCAGCACCTCAGCACCCCTCAATCTTGGGTAAACCTCTGGGAGCAGCCATCCCTTCTTGGCTACATTCTTCCTGCTCCCTCCACCTACCCGGCTGTAACATTTTGGTCCACTGTAGCCCAGGACAGTCTCATGAGGGGGTTGATGATGGCTTCAGGCCTTCCTTGCCTCATCCTCAACCTCCTCTGACTTCCTGCCAGCCTAGCCTGGCCCTGCCTGCTCAAAGTCCACCCATTGGCTTCCCCAGAACATACCTGCACCTCCCTTCCCCCTCCAGATTCTCCCAAAGCCCAGGCCTTGCCCAGCAAAACCCACACACATGTGCCCTCACCACACTTGACCACTCCTGCGGCAGTACGGCCGTACTTGGGCACAGAGATGCCTGTGTCTGTCTGAGAGTCTGTCCCTGGCGGAGACTCCCGTTCAAAAGGACAGTTTCCCAAGGGTAGACCCAAATCATCCCGACCACGGCACCAGGCTGCATGCAAACAGAGCTGAGCTCTAGGTCCACCCTGACCGAGCATCCTGTGAGTGGGGTTCACAGGGGGCTAGACACAAAAGGAGCAGCCATGGCTCCATTCTGTAAGTTCCAACAGTCAGTGGGCACTTTCCCAGATGTGGGCCAGTTGGCCGTACCCACCACTTTGCAGACAAAAAAAAAAAAAAAAAAAAAAAAAGCAGCTCAGAGAGGCTGGCTAACTTTCCCCACCGGCCCCTCCTGGGCCACGTTTGCCACCCGCCAGGGAGCTCTCAGGAGATAAGGCAGTGGAGGCTATGTCTTGGTCCCTGTTCGTAGCAGCTGGCCCTTTCCATGGCTTCCAAACAAGCCAGACAATCAGCAGCTCACTCTCCCCAGGCAGGCAGGCAGGCTCGGGGCCAGTGGGTCTGAGGAATGAGAGGCCTCCCCAGGAAGACCCCAGGGCCTCATATCAGGGGCTGGGCACACTATGGGTGACAGTCACGTAAACCTCTTGGCCCAGATGAACTCACTCCCCACAGAGACCACCTCCATCCACAGACCAGTGGCACCACGCGGAGGCCGGCAGGTGGTGCCACTAGCTTAGATGCACTCTGCACGTCAAGCATTAAGCAGAGCCCCAAATGCTGCAGTCATCTCAAGAGACACAGAGTGAGACAGGTTTCCCAGGACAAGTTACGAGGTGAAGTGCTATGCAGCTGGTGGTGTGCGGAATGAGTCCAGAGCGAATGTCCAGAGTGGCACACCCGCCTGTCATCAGAGCAGGTGCCCCTTCTGCCCGCTACACTCTGATGTGGCCACTTACAGAAGCCCCTGCAGTGGGCAGTGTCTCACCATTAGACATGGAGCCTGAGGGCCAGCGAGGTTCCAGACTGCCCACATGTGGAGGGCCTAGTCCCTAGATCCGTGGACATGTCACCTCATGTGGCAACAGGAACTTTACAGATAAAATTAAGTCAAGGCCCCTGAGATTGGGGATGATCCTAGGTCCCCAAAGGGCAGTGTCAACACAGGGTCCTTGTAAGACAGAGGCATCAGGGTCGGAGTGAATGACGGAAGAGCTGTGCTGCTGGCTGTGAAGATGGGGGAAGGGCCGAGTGCCCAGGATACGGTGCCTCTAGGAGCTAAAAATGTCCAGAAATTATTTTCTGCTGGAGCCTCGCGAAGGGCCAGAGGTGCCCACACCTAAGTTTAGTCCCATATTGGACCTCCAGAACTACAGAGATAATTTTGTGGGTCTCTTTTTGTTTTTTAATTTTCATTTTTGCTAATCCTCCCTCAAGGATATTTTTCCATTGCTTTTTCGAGAGAGTGGAAAGGAAGGGGAGAGACAAAGAGAAAGAAACTTCGATGTGAGACAGACACATCCAGTGGCTGCCGCCTGCACTAGTCCCAACCAGGGCCGGGGACTGAGCCTGCAGCTGAGGTACATGACCTTGACAGGAATCAAACCTGGGACCCTTCCGTCCACGGGCTGACACTATTCAGAGACAAGCCGACTAGGGCCATTTCTGTTGTTTTAAGCCACCAAGTTTGTGGTGACTTGTTACAGCAGCTGCAGGACACACACTAGGACAGGGCAGAGAAGGCAGTGGCCACGCTGGGGCCTTCCTTCATGGGTCCTCCTGGGGGGTGGCTGCTGAGAGGGTTCCTAAGATGCTTGTGCTCAACACAGGCCTTTTCTCTGCCCAGCCCCACGTGGCCCACTGTGGATAGCCAACCAATCCTCTGTCTCCATCCTCCCCTCTCTCCATAACCCCATTCCCACCCCCCTGACTCCCAAGACCGCTTGTCTGCCCGAGGCAGTGGGTCTTCGTTCTGCCAAAAGGCACATTTGCTGATTGTCTGCCCAGAGGCCTGAGGCAGGTACCAGGGTTAAGCAGGCAAGAAGATGGGACATGGTCCCACCCTCCTGAGCTCCTTTTGTATCAGGAGCAGCAAGCCAGAAACATGGACCTAGATGAAGAACAATTCTGGGTGGTGGTACCTGCTACCAGGAAGCACATTTTTTGGTTAAAATATATTTTATTGATTTTTTACAGAGAGGAAAGGAGAGGGACAGGGAGTTAGAAATATCGATGAGAGAGAATCATCGATCAGCTGTCTCCTGCACACCATCCACTGGGGATGTGCCCGCAACCAAGGTACATGCCCTTGACCGGAATCGAACCTGGGACGGACGCTCTATCCACTGAGCCAAACCGGTTTCGGCAGGAAGCACATTTTTGAAGTGGCTCCAACATTCAGCTGTCAAAGTAAGGGCAAGTTGGAGGGAGTGGAGAGGACACTGGAACCCAGCACCCAGCCTGGAACGTATCTCCCAGACCAGGCACCCACAGAGGGACCCACGGACACTGGCAGTGGAGAGGCTCCAGAACTCACTCATCCCAGGCCCCGACCCAGTAAATGCAGGCAACATCCCCAATGGGCGAGCCTTCCTGCTGGCATCAGGGATGTCACTCTTCTCTCTAAATGGACCTGCTACCTCTGGAAGCACCCACCCCAGACACACCATATCAGGTTTTCTTGGTGAGGAGGTGGAGGCAGACAGACAGAAGGGCACATGTGGGAAGCATGGGCCGTGGGTGGAAAGTCTGTGAGGAGGATTCTCTGAAAGGTCAGTCTCTGGGGACCTCTCTGAGGGTGGCAGACCCTGCCCTGCCTTTTCCAAACAAGTCTGAGCCCCCGGGTGTTAGCTTAGACATGTCCTTGCTTAAAAGACAATACAGACACATGTGTCTTCTCAAGGACGCTTACCCTGCTGATAGCATCTAACAGTTAATTTTAGTACAAGCTGCTGTTACAAGAAAAGCCTAAGGAGGCAGGCAATCGAGGCTGTTTTGGGCTCTTATGCCAACCAATCCCTTAGCCTCTCTTCC